CTCTTTATCACATTCTTTCATTCCTCATTTTTTCTCATCTTATCCTTTACCTCACAATTATCATGTCCCTTCTTATGCTCTATTTCCATTCGTACCATCCTCGTTTCTTCCTTTCCTGCTACACCTCTTTTTCATCTACTCCTTCCTCTTCCTTTGGCTCGATTCCCTCTTTACTCGCGTTTAACCTTTCTTCTTCCTCCTATCTCATCCTCACATTTCCCAGTTCACATTTTGCATCTCCCTTCTCGCCACGTTCTCCTAATTCCTCTAAGTCCGATCTAATCCTTTCCGCTGCTGAAAAACAGGATGACATAGCCCCACACAACCAGGCCGACCCCCAGCTCTCCGCCAGAGACGTCAAGTCCCGCCTTGACTGGACGTTAACCACCTTTCGCTCGCAATTAATATTCTATGGGGTATGTAACTGCCTCCTGCGTCCAGTTTGTTACAACCGGGGAATAGGTGTTTAAGTAGGTAGTAGAACTACTAGTAGTAGTAGTGGTTGTAGTAGTCATTTCTGTGTAGGACTTTCAGTAAGGCTTGCGGCTTCGTCCATTTTTTTTTTCATTTTTTTTACACTGATAAGTATAGGAACTTTCATTACTATGATAGTCAGATCTGTGGAGGGTGAGGAGTGTGTGGTGTAGAGTGTCTAATCCTTTCTCTATTTCTCGGGACCAAGGAGCCAGAGTTCAACCCCCCCCGGAAGCGTAACTAGGTGAGTACATTGTACTTTTTCTATGGGTGGTATTTCTAGTTCCCCAGCAGATAATCTCTGAATAAACACTTAAGTTCATTTAATTTTCTTATCTGTACTGTCACCAAATCATCTTATTTTGTTCCTCACCGTTTCCTCTTACTTCATCTCTGCTAAATTCCTTTCTTTTCTACATCTACCTTCTCCTTCCCATCTACCTCCCCTCTCGCTTCTAACACTTCAAATTGTGCGTAGATATGTTAACGGCGTGAAAAATACCTCACTGCATTAATCTAAGAACATTTGGAAGGCGGGGGCCAGGAGCCTAGCTCGAACCTGCAAGCACTTCTAGGTGAGTGTACATACAATCTCGGGCCTCGCGGCTGAGTGGATAGCGTTCGGGGGTGTTAGTCTTAAGGGCCCGGGTTCGATTCCCGGCCGAGGCAGAAACAAATGGGTAGAGTTTCTTTCACCTGATACTCTGTTTACCTAGCAGTAAATAGGTACCTAGAAGTGAGACAGCTGTTACGGGCTGCTTCCTAGGGATGTGTGTATTCACCTAGTTGTAATCACCTAGTTGTTTTGGCGGGGTTGAGCTCCTCTCTTTCGACCCGCCTCTCAACTGTCAATCAATCAACTGTTACTAACTACTAATATTTTTTTACACACACACACACACACACACACACACACACACACACACACACACACACACACACACACACACACACACACACACACCCAGGAAGCAGCCCGTAAAAGCTGTCTAACTCCCAGGTATCTATATTGCTAGGTAACAGGGGCATCTGGGTGAAAGAAACTACCCTTCTGTTTCCGCGCGCGCGCGCGTTAGAGAGTAATATAGACATAATAGAGGAGCAATAGACCGATAGGAATGGCGGGGTCCAAGAGCTAATAGCTCCATTCTGCAGGCACAAATAACAAATAAATATTTACCACCTCCAATAGTAAACATCGCAGCTGTTTGAACACCTCATCTTTAGTGACAAACTGTAATTACAATTTTGTCTAATCTTTCACAAGTCAAGCCTGGCCAGGGGAGTAGAAGAACTCCCAGAACACCATCAAGCAGGTGAAATTGAAATTGAAATAAGTTTATTGAGGTAAAACACACACAAAGGGATGAGGTAGCTCAAGCTATTCTCACCCCGTTCAGTACATCGTGTTAATACATACATAGACACACATCACAAACAATAAACATATTACTGAACATTCTGAGAGATAAACATATACATTTCCTCCTTCACAAGTAGTATGGTATCAGACGTACACACAAATACTTTTATGACCTACGTATACTATCAAGCAGGTGAGGAAGGAAGGAATTATCAAGGGAAAGCTCCAAGCCATTACGACTATATAGCACTTGGAAGGGATCAGGATAAGGATTTGGAGTGGGACAGGGGGGAAGGAATGGTGCCCCAACCACTTGGTGGACGGTCGGGGATTGAACGCCGACCTGCATGAAGCGAGACCGTCGCTCTACCGTCCAGCCCAAGTGGTTGGGGTGAAAGCAGGTGAGTAAATAGGACATATGACCTGTTAAAAAATTGGAACTAACTTGTTTAGCAGCGTTGCAGTTCTGGTCGATAAGACGCCCAAACTTGTTAAAACTTGCCCGGAAAAAAGTGCATTTTTTAAAGAATAGCTTTTGAACCTATATTGCTCAACCAGATACAGAGCTTTTCAGGCTAATCTATGATGCTAATATTGGCATATTTTATAATATTTCTACTGAAACACCAACATTAATTTCTACTATTGCTCTGCGACAGGCTAATCTTTAGAAGCACTTGTATATCAGCATCGTCAAGGATAATTGAGAGTCGGGACCAAAAAGTCGAGGCTCAACCCCCGCAACCCGAAGTAGGTGAGTACACTGTTGTTCCCAAGGGTTAGTGGGCCAGCCAGAGGCTTAGGGCCCGCGCAGGAATTTTCCTGAAAAAAAAAATCACCAAGGGGCGCCTACATGAGTTTACAGGCACCTGATGGCGCCGGAAGGAGAGGCTGTGGAGATTTCAGAGGATTTCAGGGGATTTCAGAGGAGCCTGTAATCAGTCCAGCTGATTATCCATATCCGCGACAGATTTTGCTAAATGTGAACACTTTTAAAGGATTTCCTGAATCTGGGTTTTAAGCTGTACCGCGTGTTAGTTATTCCCCCCCCCTCCCCCGGTTAAATTCCGGCACATCTCAAGCCATTGTGATCTGTGATTAACGCAGCATCCCTCTTAATCCACATCCCTGTCTCGCGAGCACACCTCAGACACCCTCCCTCCCCTGTCCTATCTCTCAGATGTAAAGTGTTTCATGTTTTATTCACATTCCTAGTGCTGATGGGTGAATGTAGTTTGCTTTAAGTAGAACGCGGACGTTGTGATGATGTGGTTGTCCTGTGCTGAGTGGTTGGGTTGGCATGCCCCTCACAGTTGTAGGTAGTTCAGCCAGTGGGTAGATGGGGGTGACCCCTGGAGAACTCACCACTACCTATCTACCTATCACCAACTACCTATAGAAAAGGCTATCTATCACGGTTCGGCATTCGTAGATAGAATATGTCTCCAAGCAGGTTATTAACGATAATTTATAGTAAGATTTATAATAAAAATAAGAGTGATGATTGCCCTGGTGATTTGGTGATCACCATCATCAGAATTATTATATTATGGGATTATATTATGGAACTGTACATGACTGCTGATACCCTGCTTCACTTGCACTCTTTATAAACGTTAAGCAAATGCAAAGCAGATTGGAGCAGCGTATTCTGCGTTCCCGGCCGCGCTCTCACTTCTGATTGGGTCGTTGTAAACGCTCAGGGAAACTCGACGTTCCGGCATAACAAAAAATAAAGGTAGTTGTTGAAAATAGCTTTTGTACCAAATTATATAATATGCCTGTGCTTGGCTTCCTTCTTCCAAGGCGTCGCCCACGACTCCTGAATAAATTTATAAAAAATGCTACTGAATTTATATAAAAAAACTTAGTTACTTCAATACTCAACTTGGCTTTTACACACGTGTGAAAATTACGATAACAAGGAAACATGAAAGTTACTGTTAATGACTCGGAACAAAGTATTTAACAAAAATAAACACATGGCTACACGAAATGATGTCACCAGGACCTCCTGAAGCAGAGGTGGTGATGTCACCCCCCTGAGAGTACCCGTAGACACACGTGAAATCGCCCTTCTGTTGTTTGAGATCTAGCTACTCAGAACGAAATGTCCATGTAGCACGGTCTATGGTGAGCCCGTAAAAAAGAAATCGCCCTGGACATGGGTATGTATATACACTCGTCCTGGTGACGTCACATCCTGTGTCTACGACAGCGTAACTGCCCCTGCAGCGTAGTGAATAGTTAGAAGAGGTGGAGGAGGTCTCATTCGGTCGGGAACGTTTGTGCAAAACGCATTTACCGCTATAAACAATTTATATATATATATATATATATATATATATATATATATATATATATATATATATATATATATATATATATATATATATATATACACACACACACACACACACACACACACACACACACACACAACACACACACACACACACACACACACACACACACACACACTAATAGGGTAAAGCTTACCATGAGATAGGGGAAGGTAAAGCTCTCAGCCTATTAACAGTTGTCAGAAGACGTCTACTCCTGTACCCACCTGCGAAAAGGAGAAGGAATATGTTAGTGAATGTCGAAGTGATTAGGCAGTTGACAAATAGAGAGAGGACACAGACAGTAAATGCGAGCACTCAATAAAAGTGTTCAAGCTATACCCTAAAAGGTTCAAGATATACCCTAAAAGGTTCAAGATATACCCTAAAATGTTAATGATATACCCTAAAATGTTCAAGCTATACCCTAAAAGGTTCAAGATATACCCTAAAATTTTCAAGCTATACCCTAAAAGGTTCAAGCTATACCCTAAAATGTTCAAGATATACCCTAAAATGTTCAAGATATACCCTAAAATGTTCAAGATATACCCTAAAATGTTCAAGATATACCCTAAAATGTTCAAGATATACCCTAAAATGTTCAAGCTATACCCTAAAAGGTTCAAGCTATACCCTAAAATGTTCAAGATATACCCTAAAATGTTCAAGATATACCCTAAAATGTTCAAGATATACCCTAAAATGTTCAAGATATACCCTAAAATGTTCAAGATATACCCTAAAAGGTTCAAGCTATACCCTAAAATGTTCAAGCTATACCCTAAAATGTTCAAGATATACCCTAAAATGTTCAAGATATACCCTAAAAGGTTCAAGCTATACCCTAAAATGTTCAAGATATACCCTAAAATGTTCAAGATATACCCTAAAATGTTCAAGATATACCCTAAAAGGTTCAAGCTATACCCTAAAATGTTCAAGATATACCCTAAAATGTTCAAGATATACCCTAAAATGTTCAAGATATACCCTAAAATGTTCAAGATATACCCTAAAATGTTCAAGATATACCCTAAAATGTTCAAGATATACCCTAAAATGTTCAAGATATACCCTAAAATTTTCAAGCTATACCCTAAAAGGTTCAAGCTATACCCTAAAATGTTCAAGATATACCCTAAAATGTTCAAGATATACCCTAAAATGTTCAAGATATACCCTAAAATGTCTTCACCCCCTTTGACTCAAGGGGGTATTTCGACCAGAAATGGTCGAAAATAATACAATATACAATATTATTTGCAATAATACAATATACAATATTATTTGCAATAATACAATATACAATATTATTTGCAATAATACAATATACAATATTATTTGCAATTTATAGAAAACCAAGAGTTCAATCACTGGATTGAACTACTTTGAGGTAGAAATGTCAGACTCAGACATTGATGTTCAACCCTGCAAGCAAGCCTCGTTGAACACTCACCCCCACAAAGCCTCGTTGAACACTCACCCCAACAAAGCCTTGTTGAACACTCGCCCTCAACAAAGCCTCGTAGAACACTCACCCCCGACAAAGCCTCGTTGAACACCCACCCCCAACAAAGCCTCGTTGAACACTCACCCCAACAAAGCCTCGTTGAACACTCACCCCAACAAAGCCTCGTTGAACACTCACCCCAACAAAGCCTCGTTGAACACTCACCCCAACAAAGCCTCGTTGAACACTCACCCCAACAAAGCCTCGTTGAACACTCACCCCAACAAAGCCTCGTTGAACACTCACCCTCAACAAAGCCTCGTTGAACACTCACCCTCAACAAAGCCTCGTTGAACACTCACCCTCAACAAAGCCTCGTTGAACACCCACCCCAACAAAGCCTCGTTGAACACCCACCCCAACAAAGCCTCGTTGAACACCCACCTCAATAAAGCCTCGTTGAACACCCACCCCAACAAAGCCTCGTTGAACACTCACCCCAACAAAGCCTCGTTGAACACTCACCCCAACAAAGCCTCGTTGAACACTCACCCCCAACAAAGCCTCGTTGAACACCCACCTCAACAAAGCCTCGTTGAACACCCACCTCAACAAAGCCTCGTTGAACACTCACCCTCAACAAAGCCTCGTTGAATATCCAACTTTACTCTGCCAGTGCGGTCTTACCTATAGCTTTTTCCCCCCTTGTGTCTTAACCGGCACTGGTCTTTAGCTCTTGGGTCCCACTTTTGGGCCTGGCGCAATGACTCCCGACACCCTCAAGTGTATCGTACAGCCCATTATCCTCTTTAGATACTATACTATAGTACTTATAGTAACTGTGTGGACCTTTGTGTGTACTGTACTTTGTGTGAACTGTATATATATATATATATATATATATATATATATATATATATATTTATTTATTTTATTTATTTTGACGTAATGGACAACTGAAAAGTAGAATTTGGTACTAGTGAATAGGGACAAAATGGAATTGTGTGTTTATGTTGCGAATAAAACCTATACCTAACCTTCCTATGCCTAGGCTATAATAGACCTAGGCTATAATAGGCCTAGGCTATAACCTTCTTATGCCTAGGCTATAACCTTCCTATGCCTAGGCTATAACCTTCCTATGCCTAGGCTATAATAGACCTAGGCTATAATAGGCCTAGGCTACAATAGGCCTAGGAATATTTAAGTTTGTTTTTTTAGCTTCATTTTCTCCGGACTCTTATCAAGTGACTAGAACCAAATTCTAGCATCTAATAGTCCACTTCGTCCATATATGTACGTTGGTGTAACATAGTTACGAAACGTACTATCTAGAACAGGGTGGTTTGTTCACACCGACACGAGGTCTGGGAGGAAGGTCCGGCATCCCACTTCGGTCGTTTCTACTCGTTCAGTACCCGTACGTCTCAGGCCTTGAGGGACGTCTTATTCTGACGTCTCAGGTCTTGAGAGACGTCTTATTCCGACGTCTCAGGCTTGAGCGACGTCTTATTCTGACGTCTCAGGTCTTGAGGGACGTCTTATTCTGACGTCTCAGGTCTTGAGGGACGTCTTATTCTGACGTCTCAGGCCTTGAGAGACGTCTTATTCTGACGTCTCAGGTCTTGAGGGACGTCTTATTCTGACGTCTCAGGTCTTGAGGGACGTCTTATTCTGACGTCTCAGGCCTTGAGAGACGTCTTATTCCGACGTCTCAGGCTTGAGCGACGTCTTACTCGGACGTCTCAGGCCATGAGGGACGTCTTACCCGTCTGTGTTCTCGGTGTCCATTTGTCTCCTCTGTCTGTTCCCACCCAGGCTTAACTGCCTCTGTCACTTTCCGTTTCCGTCTCCGTCTCCCTCCCTCTCCCTTCCTTCCTCTCCCTTCCTTCCTCTCCCTTCCTTCCTCTCCCTTCCTTCCTCTCCCTTCCTTCCTCTCCCTCCCTCCCTCTCCCTCCCTCCCTCTCCCTCCCTCCCTCTCCCTCCCTCCCTCCCTCTCCCTCCCTCCCTCCCTCCCTCCCTCCTCCCTCCCTCTCCCTCCCTCCCTCTCCCTCCCTCCCTCCCTCCCTCTCCCTCCATCCCTCCCTCCCTCTCCCTCCCTCCCTCCCTCCCTCTCCCTCCCTCCCTCCCTCCCTCCCTCCCTCCCTCTCCCTCCCTCCCTCCCTCCCTCCCTCCCTCCCTCCCTCCCTCCCTCCCTCTCCCTCCCTCCCTCCCTCCCTCTCCCTCCCTCCCTCCCTCCCTCTCTCCCTCCCTCCCTCCCCTCCCTCTCCCTCCCTCCCTCCCTCCCTCTCCCTCCCTCCCTCCCTCCCTCCCCTCCCTCCCTCCCTCCCTCCCTCCCTCCCTCCCTCCCTCCCTCCCTCCCTCCCTCCCTCCCTCCCTCTCCCTCCCTCCCCTCCCTCCCTCCCTCCCTCCCTCCCTCCCTCCCTCCCTCCCTCCCTCCCTCCCCTCCCTCCCTCCCTCCCTCCCTCCCTCCCTCCCTCCCTCCCTCCCTCCCTCCCTCCCTCCCTCCCTCCCTCCCTCCCTCCCTCCCTCCCTCTCCCTCCCTCCCTCCCTCCCTCTCCCTCCCTCCCTCCCTCCCCTCCCTCCCTCCTCCCTCCCTCCCTCCCTCCCTCCCCTCCCTCCCTCCCTCCCTCTCCCTCCCTCCCTCCCTCCCTCCCTCCCTCTCCCTCCCTCCCTCCCTCTCCCTCCCTCCCTCCCTCCCCCTCCCTCCCTCCCTCCCTCCCTCTCCCTCCCTCTCCCTCCCTCCCTCCCTCCCTCTCCCTCCCTCTCCCCCTCCCTCTCCCTCCCTCTCTCTGTCCCTCTCTTCTCTCTCTCTGCATATCTCATTGCCAGTAACTTTGCCTTCCTATTTGTGTATATTACTGGCTCCCTGTGTGTAAACTCGTCTGCTTTCTTGACTGTCTGCCTCCCTGTCTGTGTGTGTCTGCCTTCCTGCCCGAATGTCTGCCTATCTGCCTTCCTGTCTACGCCTGGCTGCCGGCCAATCAAGCTGCCTCCCTCAGCCTGCTTCTGTTTAAATATCTGTCACACGCCCCGTCGAGCCGACAAAGAACACCAGAGTAATTCCCTCTAACAAATCCCCTTAAACTACATTAATTACAAATACAATTATGTTGCACATCCGGCCCTGATGACAGGATCAAGTAATTTACCAGTGCTGGACCCAACCAACATTACGGTTGCATTCGGTGCAACGACTGCCCTGGACGGTCCTGGACGGTCCTGGACTGTCCAGGACGGTCCTGGACGGTCCTGGACGGTCCTGGACGGTCCTGGACGGTCCTGACTGTCCTGGACTGTCCTGGACTGTCCTGGACGGTCCTGGATGGTCCCGACTGTCCTGGACTGTCCTGGACTGTCCTGGACGGTCCTGGACTGTCCTGGACTGTCCTCGACTGTCCTGGACTGTCCTGGACGGTCCTGGACGGTCCTGGACGGTCCTGGGTCCAGGGAGTCCAGGACCACTGCTCCTGGTTACAGGGGGGTCCAGGTTCAGTGTTCCCGAGTTCATTCTGTAAGGATGGTAATGGTTACTGTTCTATTTACGCTTTTATCCCAGAGTTCGCCTCTGCTCTTCGGTCCGCTTGTCTAAATATTATCCTTATCTGCTCCAACGCCTCTCATGTGTACTTTGCCTCTGAGGGCTGCGTCCTCTGCTGCAGGGGGCGCTTGAGGGCTGCGTCCTCTGCTGCAGAGGGCGCTTGAGGGCTGCGTCCTCTGCTGCAGGGGGCGCTTGAGGGCTGCGTCCTCTGCTGCAGGGGGCGCTTGAGGGCTCCGTCCTCTGCTGCAGGGGGCGCTTGAGGGCTGCGTCCTCTGCTGCAGGGGGCGCTTGAGGGCTGCGTCCTCTGCTGCAGGGGGCGCTTGAGGGCTGCGTCCTCTGCTGCAGGGGGCGCTTGAGGGCTGCGTCCTCTGCTGCAGGGGGCGCTTGAGGGCTGCGTCCTCTGCTGCAGGGGGCGCTTGAGGGCTGCGTCCTCTGCTGCAGGGGGCGCTTGAGGGCTGCGTCCTCTGCTGCAGGGGGCGCTTGAGGGCTGCGTCCTCTGCTGCAGAGGGCGCTTGAGGGCTGCGTCCTCTGCTGCAGAGGGCGCTTGAGGGCTGCGTCCTCTGCTGCAGGGGGCGCTTGAGGGCTCCGTCCTCTGCTGCAGGGGGCGCTTGAGGGCTCCGTCCTCTGCTGCAGAGGGCGCTTGAGGGCTGCGTCCTCTGCTGCAGAGGGCGCTTGAGGGCTCCGTCCTCTGCTGCAGGGGGCGCTTGAGGGCTCCGTCCTATGCTGCAGAGGGCGCTTGAGGGCTCCGTCCTCTGCTGCAGAGGGCGCTTGAGGGCTGCGTCCTCTGTTATCTGAAGATGATTTCGGGGCTTAGCGTCCCCGCGGCCCGGTCCTCGACCAGGCCTCCTTTTTGTTACACACACCCAGGAAGCAGCCCGTACCTGCTGTCTGACTCCCAGGTACCTATTTACTGCTAGGTGAACAGTTCCATCAGGGTGAAAGAAACTCTGCCCATTTGTTTCCGTATCGACCGGGGATCGAACCCGGAACCTCAGGACTACGAATCCAAAACGCTGTCCACTCAGCTGTCAGGCTCTGACAGCTGAGTTCCGTGTTCAGTCCCGTGTTGGACTTGGTCTGTACCTGATCGGTACCCGTTACTACTTCCCGACTCTTACGACCGACCTGTGGTCGGCTTTTAACGATCCACTGTCCAGGGGCCAGATTCACGAAAGCACTTACGCAAGCACTTACGAACCTGTACATCTTTTCTCAATCTTTGGCTGCTTTGTTTACATTGATTAAACAGTTAATGAGCTCCGAAGCACCAGGAGGCTGTTTATAACAATAACAACAGTTGATTGGGAAGTTTTCATGCTTGTAAACTGTTTAATAAATGTAACCAAAGCCGTCAAAGATTGAGGAAAGATGTACACGTTCATAAGTGCTTTCGTGAATCTGGCCCCTGGGGTTGTTGGTTAGAGAATACAATATTTCTTGCGCCCTTCACAATAATGTTTCAGTGTCTGCCCTGATATCTCCACTAATTGTAAGCTCAATGATACAAAAAATTCCTTCTCAATTTACTGTTACCGAATAATAGTGTTAGACATGCTGACCCTCCCAACTGTTACTTGCTTCCTGTAGCACAAGCTTGTTATATTCTCAGTGCCTAGGAGCGCCACTGCCCTCGTTTGCCTTACAACCATTATCTTGAGTTTATCTTGAGATGATTTCGGGGCTTTAGTGTCCCCGCGGCCCGCTCCTTGACCAGGCCTCCACCCCCAGGAAGCAGCCCGTGACAGCTGACTAACACCCAGGTACCTATTTCACTGATAGGTAACAGGGGCATAGGGTGAAAGAAACTCTGCCCATTGTTTCTCGCCGGCGCCCGGGATCGAACCCGGGACCACAGGATCACAAGTCCAGTGTGCTGTCCGCTCGGCCGACCGGCTGGTGGACAAACAGATGGTGGAGGTTACTCAAAATATACCATTTTCACGAAGCAGTTACGCAAGTACTTACGAACGTGTACATCTTTCCTCAATCTTTGACGGCTTTGGTTACATTTATTAAACAGTTTACAAGCATGAAAACTTGCCAATCAACTGTTGTTATTGTTATAAACAGCCTCCTGGTGCTTCGGAGCTCATTAACTGTTTAATCATTGGAAACAAAGCCGCCAAAGATTGAGTAAAGATGTACAGGTTCGTAGGTGCTTGCGTAACTGCTTCGTGAATCTGGCCCCTAATCTTAACTAGCACGCCTGCTTGAACGTAACTACTTAGCGTCGTTTATATCCCAGGACAGACACGGTCATCATCCATCCCAGGAGAAAGACACGGTCTGCATCCATCCCCCAGGAGAAAGACACGGTCATCATCCATCCCCTACAAACACACGGGAAACAAGAAAACTTACAAAGACAGTCTTCACAATACACTGCGTGGGGGAAAATAAACAAACGCAACTTGGTATGTAAATAAAAATCAGTGCTAAATAAAATATGGTCTTAGCTGTGGCACTCCGCCTTCGTCAGGAGGGTGCCTCCTGACGAAGGCGGAGTGCCACAGCTAAGACCATATTTAAGCTGACAATCCAATATTCCTCTTCAGCGCCACTCACTCCCGCCAAATTTGTGGCCCACAACTCCATAATCACATTCCTTGAGCACTTTTTTGGGGAAGAGTCGAGATGTATTAAGTTGACGTTAAGTTTCTCAATAGAGTTGCTGGAGTCGGCATCTTTACTTGCAGCCTCCCGGCAGGTGGGTTCAAGGACTCTTAGTTCTTCTACCATCAATCACGGGAGACTAAGCCTAAGACGGATTGAGTCTCCTAGAGCCCAGGAGAAAGGAATCAAACTGCTTACTAAATAAGGAACACACAGTTATTATTGAGAAAATTGTCATGATTCGTAAGTGGACACTTACGCGTTGTCTTACGCTGGAAGACAATCACAAGTCTGGTCAAACTGCAGAAGGCGAGATTAATGACTGACAGGTTACAGCCGTCACCAGGATGAGGCAACGGAGATGAGAAAAGGGAGTAAGGAGATGAGAAAAGGGAGTAAGGAGATGAGAAAAGGGAGTAAGGAGATGAGAAAAGGGAGTAAGGAGATGAGAAGGAGTATACACCAAGTGGAAGGCGACTACAGCAATTCATAAAGAGAAAAGGTTTGGGAGTCCATATCATTCCTAGCCTGACCCCACACACCCACAGGGTAACATCAGCAGCATATGGGACGCTGGTAAACATTAAAACGGCATTTAAAGTCCTAAATTGATTCTTTCAAACTAAACAGGACTGCTCCAAGGATTCAAGTTCAAGTAAGTTTACTGAGAAAAGTAAGTTCACTGAGAAAAGTAAGTTTACTGAGAAAAGTAAGTTTACTGAGAAAAGTAAGTACTACATCTCAAAATGATAGAGTAGCTTAGGCTATTTCTGCCTTCGAACTCCCTGGATAGGTCAAGGAAATTAAATATCCTAACCTTAGAAGAGACTAAACAAAGGGGAAATGATCACAACATACAAGATGCCGAGGGGAACAGACTGGACGAATAAGAATAGCCTCATTAAATTGACAGACAATGGAAATGTACATTGATGCAAGCTGGAAACACAAAGGAGTAGAAGAAATAGGAGGAAATGCCCGTATCCTATACGAGTGGTCAAGTGGAATGCACTGATATAAGAGGTCAAGGAAGCCACCTCCATCCACAACTTTAAGGCCAGATTCAATAAAGAATTTAAACGACACGAAGACAAAAAGCCATAACAGGTACACAACATGAATAGCAGCAGACTGGGCATAACGAGTTCCCAGTTCCTCACTTCCCAGTAATCACCTTGAAGTAACTGTTAGGCAGCACGCGCACACCCAACTACACATTTAGACGGCTGCAACAAGTGAGAAGATGGTGATAGAGGCCAAAACCGTCAGTAGTTTCAACGCATCATACGACAAAGAGTCCTGGGAAGACGGGACACCACGAGCGTAGCTCCCAACCTGTATCTACACTTAGATAATTACATTCACCCATCCACCCCCTTCAATTTACCAGTTTTATCGGCTGTGGCAGCGGCTCAATGTGTTGATTTTTTTTATGATTCCGGCGGAAATATATCACCTCGGCCGGTTTGCTTCTCGTTCGTGGGTCGTTTCAGTTCTGAGGGAAATGCAAAACGGTTTAGGAAGATGTCCCGCTGCTGGAATGGCGGGTAGGTAGGCGCCGGGTGGGTCCAAGTGTCGGCCAGGCCAGAGTAGATGCTCGCTAGTATGTAGATTGTCTCCAGGGCTATGACAGGAAGGACAGACTGGGTACAAGTTTGCTCCAAGGTGCACCAGGTGTACCTGAACTGTACCTGGATGGGGTTCTGAAGAGTAGTTCTACTTCCCTAGACCTGCTCGAGGACCGAGGCCAGGCTTGATGTGTGATAACTTGGTCTTATCTATCTATATCTATATATCTCTCTCTCTCTCTCACATCACAGGGGGAACACGAACAAGGGGACACAGGTGGAAACTGAGTACTCAAATGAGCCACAGGGACGTTAGAAAGAACTTTTCAGTGTCAGTAGTTAACAGACGGAATGCATTAGGCAGTCATGTGGTGGAGGCTGACTCCATACACAGTTTCAAATATAGATTTCATAGAGCCCAATAGGCTTAAGAATCTATACATCAGTCGATTGACAGTTGAGAGGCGGGGCCAAAGAGCCAAAGCTCAACCCACGCAAGCCAAACTAGGCGAGTACGTACACACACACACACACACACACACACACACACACACACACACACACACACACACACACACACACACACACACACACACACACATCCCCTGGAAGCAGTCCGTATTAGCTGTCTAATTCCCAGGTATACATTTACTGCTAGGTGAAAAGGTGCACCAGGTGAATGAAACTTTACGTTTCTACCTCGGGACATTAGGACTACGACCCCCAGGGCGCTGTCCACTCGGCTGCCAGTATACTCACCTAGTTGTGTGGGGGGTGAGCTGCAGCTCTTGGGTCCCGTGTGTGTCACGGGACCAAAGCCCGTTAAAACCCAGTTGTAACCGGCTTGTCCAGTAGCACAACACACACATACAATTGACAGTTGAGAGGCGGGACCAAAGAGCCAAAGCTCAACCCCTGCAAGCACAAATAGCCGAGTACAAATAGGTGAGTACAAGGACACAAAGTACCATATAATCTTCAGTTGTTGATTTATAGAGCAAAATACCGGGTAACATAATTGCCGTAGGATCACTGGAGGGTTTCCAGCGAAGGACAGACACACATACTGTATATGAATGAGTTTGATATGAATTCGAGGGGCCTCGTATAGGTCACTATGCCTTCTGTTTCGTTTTTTTCTCGTGTTGTGTGTCTATGTTTGTGGGTGACACGAGGATTTTCATGAGTGGACAATATAGCCTCAGCAAACATGTAAACTAATGTAAATCATGGCCTTCAATGGGCAATAGAAAATAATATGATATTTAACGAAGACACTTTCCAGCTTCTGCGTTATGCCTAAAACAAAAAACACAACTTTCACGTTATTTCAGTTTTTATATCACACAACCGAATGACAAAGCAATATAGAAGATCTGGGAGTAAACATACCGAAAGACCTTACTTTTGTCAAGGAAAATATGACAGGTTGAATATCAAGAACCTTTCAAACAAGAGATGTCATACCAGTGATGATACTCTTCAAGACACTTGCGCTCTCTAGGGTGGAGTATTGTTGCAGACAAACAGCCTCATTCAAAGCTGGAGAAATTAGTAACCTGAAGAACCTACAAAGGTCTCAATATCCGAATCCACTCAATAAAAATCTAAATTATTGAGACCGCTAAAAAATTTAAAATATGTATTCACTAGAATGCAGGAGGGAGAGAGAGAGAAATAATAATTTACACTTGCAATAGGTACACTGAGAGAGAACTCTATCAATATCAAAGGGCCGAGACTGTTCAATACGCTTCCACTACACCTAAGGGGCACAACTAACCTGATCTCTCACGGTGTTCAAAAGAAAACTTGATAAACGTCTCCAGACACCCGACTACGAAATACGGCGTCCAACAGCGTGGTTGGCTAGACCAACGGCCTGGTTGGCTAGACCACCAACCAGGAGGGCTGCTCAAATAACCGGCCGCGTCGACATTGATCCACGGTACCACCACCAGGTTACCTGAAGGTAAACCTCACTCCACGACAGAATGGAGGAGCCACAATGCCAGCCGACGACGTTCAGCAAAGATTTCCATTTCTGGACATTTAGGAAGTCGCTTGTAGTGTGGGAGTTGTGAATTAGTGGGTGCCTAACCTCGGGCCACCCTTGTTCCACCCTTCCTCCTCCACTTTCCAACAATTCCATCGTTTATTCGCTATTCTTTCCCACCAGGAAATGGTCCCATGGCCAACAACGAGCTCACGCCAGACAAACGCGGCCTCTCTCACAAGACAAGCACCAGGAGAACCATCAAAAGTTCCTGTCGTTTAGATTTCCCAGCGCCTCCGCAACCACAATCCTGGAAGACCTCAACAAGCCCCATCCAGCGCCCGCCAAGAAAGCATTCAAAGCAACAAACAGGAGACAAACACAAAGCGGAAAGAGCGCGTTGAGCTAGTTTCTCGTCGAGGATGAGGGGAAAAACAAAAGACAAACAGGAAACGCGCGCTAGTTCTGCCATTGTTTACACTCTGGCGTCCTTTGCCTTGACGACGAATTCCCGCCCAAATGCAAAACGCCCTCCATACCTCGAGCCCAACTCCCGCCCAGTCTCCCTTGACGACCCGGCCAAGGGTGTCGTCAGGTGTCTCTTGACAACCAAAGCGAAGGACTCGGCACGGGGGGAACTTATTCTATTCTCTGTTGTTGTTCCGCTCGTTGGCTCAGCTCTTTGCCTTAGATAGCAGCAAAAATCTTGCTGGTAATATGGACCCGCTTTCTCGCGGGTCTAGAGATAGGAAGGAGGAGGAGGATGAACAGGAGGAACAGAAAGAACAAAGAAAATGGGGAAAGTGGACGGAAATGGGAGAAGGAAAAAGAAGATATGAAGGGAAGGAGGGTAAATTAGAAGGATGGAATTGAAGTAGGGAAAAAAAGGAAGCGCCGGAGAAATGGGGAAGGGAAGAACAGGCTTAAGGAGGAGGGAAAGGAGGGGAAGGGAAGAACAGGCTTAAGGAGTAGGAAAAGGAGGGGAATGGCAAGTAGGAATGGGAAGATTTGAGGGAAGTAAAGGAGGGAGGAGAAACAAAAGATAGAAGGAAGAAGGGCTCTAGGAGGGAGATGCAAAAATAAGTGTTCGAGGAGGAAGATAAGAGAACATGAGGAATTGAGAAGAAGAGGAGGAAAAGAAAATATTGAAGAATAAATGGGGAGGGTGAGAGCGAGAGAGAGAAACAGAGAGAGAGAGAGAGAGGTTGGGGGGGGGGGGGGAGACACCTTCCTATCTACACTGTGAAACATTCCCTGAAACAAATCCTTCCTAAAAAAAAAAAAACAGCCAGCAACAATTCGCTCTTTCCACCAAACGCCAACGATTGAAAGCTTCGCTGATGGATTTCCAACTCTTGAAAAGAAATTGAATACCACATAGGGCTGTCAACCAGCTATTGGCAGAGGACACCCCCCCCCCCACAGTGCCTTCTCAAAACTCTTGCACCCCCCACCCACCCACCCCCTTATCTATCTTTATATCTAGTTCTCTCTCTCTCTCTCTCTGCATGTGGTATACCTGGACTGTACCTGAATGGGGTTCTGGGAGTTCATCTACTCCA